CTATAACAGTCTATAACTGACATCTCAACTTAAATGGAAGTTATTTACTCTTTAAATTAATAAAGTTATCTATAACATAGTGTTTTTAAAGTATGTATTCCCATGTTTTGTAGGATATAAGTATGGTTAATTCTACTTTTAATAGTCTCTTTTCTACATGGAAATTTTTCTTAACCTTCCTAACAGTTCGAGCATCTCAAGATGAAAGTTTTGCAAACATTACACCAAAAAACCAGGCTACGCCTCGAACTCCCAGTTCATTTCGACAGCCCTGTAAGACTTTTTGCCTTTAAAGCATTGAATAATAACATTGATAAGCTAGACACTAACATTTATTGTACATGCATATAGTTAGTATTTTTGACTGCAGTCTCAATAATAACTGCAGCTAAACCAACCAAGTTCACTGCCATTGAGTCGGTTCTGGCGCATAGTGACCCTATACAGCCAGGCATAACGTTCCCTGTGGCTTTCTGAGACTAACTCTTTTTTTTTTTTTTTTCTGAGACTAACTCTTGATAGGTTTAGAAAGTATGGTGATTTCTGACTGTTGACCTTGTGCTTGGCAACGCAGTGTGTAACCACTGTGCCACCATGACTCCTGGAATAATGATAGCAGCTATTTAATGATTGCAGTATATGTGCAAGTCACTATACTTTATATCAACACAATGGTTGTGAGATGGCATTTCCATTTTACCACAACTGAAAGTGAGACTTTGTGGCCATTGAGTTGGTCCTCAATTTATGGCAACTCCAAGCACAGTGGGATCACACTGTTGTGATCGATAAGATTTTGGCTTCTCGTTGATTGACCTTTTTCCCAAAGTGAGACGTAAAGATGTTAAATAATATGAGTACCAGTGTTCATACATGTGAAAGTTATAGGACCTGGATTGAAAGTCCGTACACTATACAGTTTCCTTCTCTTGTACATAGGGTTGCTATGCATCCGAATCGGCTGGACAGCACTTAACAACAACAACAACAACACTATACTGCTGCCATGGGATATGTCATAAGATTAGCTTGTGACAAATCCATGAACTCTTTCCTGTCACCCCGTTGTTTTATAAAAAAGCTTCTCTGCAGGAAAATTTTCCTGATAGGCTCAATAGGAACAAAATTCAAATTTAGGAAGTTAAATCTTGGGAGCATGAAAAAGTTAGCATTCCCAGTATTTATTTTGATTGCATGCTTTAGTTTGATGGTCGAGACTCACTCACTGAGGATGCTGCTTTCTAACTTCTTCTTGATTGCAGTTATAACACCAAACCGAAGCTTGCTGAGGCACCCAGATATTTCTTGCATTCTTGGAACAGGAGGAAAGTCTCCCCGGCTGACACAGTCTTCCGGGTTCTTGGGAAATCTCTCCATGGTATGTTGGAAAAAGGAAGCTTAAATCAATCCCCCTCTCCTGCCTTTTTTCCCCCCTCTCTCTAATAAACTATTACATTCAACTGAAGGACCTTTTAATAAGAAATAAAGTCATATTCATCATAAAGTTAACTGTAAAGGTTCTTTAGATTGAAATAATATGTTGTTTAGGCATGCAGAAAATTGACACTTTTAAGAAGCTTATATGTCAGGTGAAAGTTGAGACACCAGCAGCATGTAAATGCAGATCACATGGTTTAATCTCCAGTTTGGTGACTGTAATAATATTGTGATTGTTTGCTGATGGCTATAAATGCGGTGGCCTGTTCGGAAATATGGGAGA